GATGTGTGGCTTGACGCAAACCTGTTTCTGAGCTCTACAGACAGTTCTTTTGACCTCAGGGCTTGGTTTTTGCTCTGATATGTATTTTCAGCTGTTAGACCTTTTATTGAGAGGTGTGTGCCTTTCCAAATCATACCCATTCAATTGAATTTGCCACAGGATTACTTCACTTAAAGTGTAGTAACATTTACAAGCAATATGAATGCTCCTGAGCTAATCTCAAATAGCAACATGATTTGAGGTTTCATTCACGTTCAGGATGGGTTACTGCTTTTTTAGGGATTTTCAATATGACGTGACATGTGGCCAAGTACGGTGACCCATACTCGGAATTAGTGCTCTGCATTTATCCCATCCTAAGTGCACACACACAGCAGTGAACACACACACCGGGAACACACACCCGGAGCAAAATGCATATGAGTAATACATGCTTGCCTTAGCCAATACTACAAATAAGCAGCATAATATATTTTTTTGTTTTCTTAATTTCTCTTTGTTCCCATTAAATTAATTGTATGTAAAAATAACTGTGCTCATTAAATTAACTCTTAGCTTTATGTGATTTTACTATTATAGTATCACTCTGAGCTACAGTCACTTAATTGGTAACGAAATGAAGGTTGACACTAATTACTCTACCTTCAGTGTACCTAACTATGTACAACTGTAATTAGTACATTTCTTCCAAGAAGAGAAAACCATATACAGTACAGTAATGTCTTTACCATCACTTTTGATCAATTCAATGCACCATTGCTGAATAAAAGTGTTCTTACCCTAAACTTTTCAAATCAACATATTAGAATGATTTCTTAAGGATCATGTGACACCGAAGACTAGAGTAATGATGCTGAAAATTCAGCATTGCATCACAGGAATAAATTACATTTTAAAATATATCACAATAGAAAACAGTTATTTTGAATTCTAAAAATATTTCACAATGTTCCTGTTTTTACTGTATTTTTGGTCAAATAAATGCAGCCTTGGTGAGCAAAAGAGACTTCTTCCAAAAACATTAAAAAATGATTACAAACTTAACTATTGTGGGTTTCTGATATTTAGCTGTGCATTTATATAGTAAAATGCATTTTTAATCTTTTAAGCCACCTTTTAACTTGACCCTCAGGGTCATTCAGACTGCATTGAGTCAACTGAGAGAAATCAGCTCATTATGGTCTCCATCGCAAGCTAAGCGCTAACCCCAGGGCATACAGTGAGCATACCTCTCCAGGACCCCATGACCAAAAGCACTCCACATAGGCATACAAATATGTTTAGGCATCATCATGTGTGTGTCAGTGTTGATCGTAGTGTTTGAGGTGCCCCAATTATTGCATACTACAGGTATGCTGAGATTGGCTCTTCTTCTGAGAACATGACCTTGGGTGACCCACATAAACCTTTCACATCTGTGCTCATGTTTACATCTCATCATGCGGCATTAGGCAGCACATGTGCACCACCAAACTTCCTTCTGCCCTGTGTGACGCTCACCCTGCACTGCCGCATGCAGAAAGCCGTTAAAGTAGTTACACAAACACAAGCAAACAGATGTCCAGATGGAGGAGAAACAGAAGAACCCATAGGCTCTATTCATAAACCCAGTGAGTTTTCTTGCTGTCTAAAAGTATAGTTTCCAAAGAAAAAAAGAAAAGAAAATTATGTCATTGTTTACTCACTACTCACCAAGTTATTCCAAACCTGTAAGAGTTTCTTTATTCTGTTGAAAATATATTTTGAAGAATGTTGGTAACCAGACAGTTGAGGGTAGCCATTGACTTCCATAGTATTTTCTTCCCTACTATGGAAGTCAGTGGATACCAACAACTGTTTGACTACCAACATTCTTCAAAATATCTTCTTTTGTGTTTAACAGAAGAAAGAAACTCATACAGGTTTGAAACAACGTGAGGGTGAGTAAATGATGAAAAAATTTCATTTTTGGGTGAACTATCCCCTTAATATTTTAAATTAGCATTTATTTTTATTTTAAATGTATTTATTTTTATTAAAACATTTATTAATAATTTTTTTTAGCATTAGTTTTACTGATTTTAGTACTTCAGCTTGTTAAACTATAGGTTGAGGTTTTTCATTTAATTTGTATTTTTTTTATTTATTTTCAGCAATTACCAAAAATGATTTTAAATAGTTATGAATTACACCATTGTCTGCATAGGCATCTGTCTTCTAAGCATCTAAACCTAAACGAAACTGAAAAAACTGAAGTAGTCACTTATTTAAAACATTTTATGTCAGCTGCATCTTACAATTGATTCCAATAGAACTTGGTGTTGGTTAATCAAACGACATAATACTCTAATAAGAATAAATACATACCAACTTCTAACCATTTTTGCTTTCAGTGTGGACAGAAATAGCCTGTTGCTAGAAACTTGTGTCATGCCTGTTTAGGTCACAGTGAGGTAAAATGGTTTATTTTTATCGATGCTATAATATATAATATGCTATAACATCATAATGTTACTATAATTACTATAATATTAACTATAATTAAGAGTTTCTTTGACTTCTCACCATATTGCTTTTATTTTTTCACTTTGCAATGCATCGCATCACAATGCACTCTGGAATTACTTAAGAATTATAGTGTGGCCAAAAACAAGGTCTCTTAGAAGTGTTTTTGGATCCGTCTTTTCATTGGGAGCTTGATTATGATGCCTTAAAATGCTGCCTAAGAAGGTGCACTGAGTGAAAGAGAGAGCAGTCACAACATTGTGCTCTGCTTGAAGGGAGAGCGCAGTCTTGGCAAGCAACTGAGAATTGTATTTTACTACGCTCTGCTCTGATGCAGCTTTATGCATCCTAATCCTGTTTAATTTGCTTCCATGGGGGAAAAAGGGAACAAATATTAATATTTTTGTCCTCGGGTTCGTTCTTTACAATCTTGGTTTGTCTTCGTCTGTCTTTGACAAAGAAGCATTTCCCCATTTGCTTTCGATTCATTCTCTTTTATCTCTGTTTTCAAATTGCACACATTTCTTCTCCCTTTAATCGTTTCCTATTACTTTCTATTGTCTGCAAATCGATATGCAGAGATAAACTAATTCATTTGCTAATGTTTACTGTAGTTTGGGTACATAATAAAAATGTATTCACAAGACAGTCAAGGTCTTATCTGTGAGGTAAGAGAAAGCATCATTCAGCAGCCATAATGGCCACTAACAATGTTATCTTATGGACATAATGTCATGAAGAGGAATTATTCGACTGGCTACTGGTTATTGGGTGAATTATGTGATTTAATCAAGCTTTTCTTCATGGCTGTTATTCATTTGCCCTTATTTATGGAGAGATTTGAAAATGTTTGCAGTAATCAGTAATAAAAAGAGCAATTACCTGGTGTGAATATGATAAAATTAAAGAAACCCTGCCAAGCTACATGTAAGTACTGGGTTTTCTGGATTTTAGGTTTCGCAATGTATTGTCCTTTTATAGTATGACATATTTCATGGTTGCTACTTTCAAAACGAAAAAAGTACACTGTACATTTTTTTCAAAGTTGTAAATAAAGCAAATATTATTGGTGTATGTCATACAAGAAAATGCTATTTCAGTTTTTCTACTTTAAAATTTTATGTTTAATTCAATGTGTATCTTGACATTTCTTTGCAATTGTTTGTCAAATTGTTAGCAATTACTGAGTAAAAATTGCAAAAATCTACACCAATTTTTTCCCCCAGTGTGTGTACAATGTCCTGTCCAACAGTGTTATTTTAGCGTTTTACGTTTTTTTTTTAATTCGTTTTTATTTCTGTATTTCCTGTTTTAATTTTAATTTTTGTTAGTTTTAGTAATTTTGTTGTGTTTTTGTCATTTTTATTATAATTTTTTTTTATATATGTAGTTTTTTTATTATATTTCAGTTTTAGTTTCAGTTGATAAACACGTTAACAGTTTAAAAGTTAAACTAAATAAAAATGTGCTGAAATAAAATAGTATTATGTTTTTTTATTTTTTTATTATTATTATTTTATTTCAAGTAACAATTTTAATGGTTTCAGTTTTAGTTTTAACCCTGCTGCCTCATAGACTTGCCCCATTGTCAATGCATTACCATTTGCATGATTGTTTCTTGTTTCTACGAACTGACAGATGAAAATTTCATTGGAACCAACAGCGTGCCACAGATGCTGTCCGTAAAGCTTGTTTTGAACACAGGACATCCATTTAATGATTTGGATGAATGCTTTACCTATAAAGAGTGTGCATTCATTCGGTTGCATCAGTACATTAGCCGAATCATTAACAGGATGCATTTGTGCACTTTGAATTAAAGGTCTGATTGAAATCTATGCTTCGTCCTCCAGGCAGAGCTCCAGACCCCTGTCAGCACTCGGGATGTGTTGGGCCGCCTCCAGCAGCAGGTAAGCGGCGAGGAGAATCAACATACACAAGGTGCATCCCACAAATCCACTGATGAAAGTGAAGCCACAGAGAAAAGATCAGCTCCTAGGAGCCTTCAGCCCATGTCTGATAACCAAATGCACCACACACAGGTGAGTCACTGATTGTTTTGGGTGGTACATCAAAGTCCTTATTATAAGGTGCATTACAAGACATAATTGAGGCATTAAAAGTACTTTTATAATGAGCTATATATAAAGTGTTACTTGTACCTAAATGTTGCCTCAAGCAATAGGCTTTTTTTCCACTTCCAGCACTTCACAGAGTTTTTTATTTAATAAATTAAGAATACAATTATATATATATATATATATATATATATATAGTTTCAGTTGTTTTAGTATATCAAGTTAGTCTAGATATAAATGAGCTGAAATAAAATAGTATTAAGTTTTTTATATTTCATTTTTTTTTTCAAGTTTTAGTTTTAACCCTGCTGCCCCATAGACTTAGTGCATTACCGTTTACATTATTGTTTCTTGTTTCTACGAACTGACAGATGAAAATTTCATTGGAACCAACAGCGTGCCACAGATGCTGTCCGTAAAGCTTGTTTTGAACACAGGACATCCATTTAATGATTTGGATGAATGCTTTACCTATAAAGAGTGTGCATTCATTCGGTTGCATCAGTACATTAGCCGAATCATTAACAGGATGCATTTGTGCACTTTGAATTAAAGGTCTGATTGAAATCTATGCTTCGTCCTCCAGGCAGAGCTCCAGACCCCTGTCAGCACTCGGGATGTGTTGGGCCGCCTCCAGCAGCAGGTAAGCGGCGAGGAGAATCAACATACACAAGGTGCATCCCACAAATCCACTGATGAAAGTGAAGCCACAGAGAAAAGATCAGCTCCTAGGAGCCTTCAGCCCATGTCTGATAACCAAATGCACCACACACAGGTGAGTCACTGATTGTTTTGGGTGGTACATCAAAGTCCTTATTATAAGGTGCATTACAAGACATAATTGAGGCATTAAAAGTACTTTTATAATGAGCTATATATAAAGTGTTACTTGTACCTAAATGTTGCCTCAAGCAATAGGCTTTTTTTCCACTTCCAGCACTTCACAGAGTTTTTTATTTAATAAATTAAGAATACAATACAAACAAGATGATATATTGTGCGATAAAGAGCATTAGAAGAAGACAAATAGTATATGTGATAAAAAAACAATAACAACAACAACAGACATTATGAGTATGAGTTCAGTGTTTTTGACAGAAGTTTCTTTTGCTGACTAAAGCTGGATTTATTTGATCTAAAATAGAGTAAAATAGTGGGAAAATAAACTTTACTTGATGCCTTTATGTACAATGCTTTATAAAGGCATTCATATACAGTATATTTTCATAAATAATTGTAACCAAAGTTAAAATATATTATATTTGCAGATTTGGTACATCTGAAATCGGTTGTTTGTAATGTGTTTAAATGCATTACTTTTTCTGTGTAACAATGAATAGATAGATGAGGTCATAAAATGTATTATAAGGTGCATTACAAGGCATAATTAATGCATTAAAAATACTTTTATGATGCACTTTATATGAAGACTTTAAGTGGTGTTACCATATAGTAAAATATAATAATAATTTAAAACAAAAGTTTTTAATGTGTTTTTATGTGCATTTATGTGATGCGCAGCTGAATTTTCAGAATCATTACTCCAGTCTTCAGTGTCACATGATCCTCCAGAAATCATTCTAATATGCTGAATTGCTGCTCAAGAAACATTTCAATTATTATCAATGTTAAAAAACAATGTTGTGCAGTGGAAACCATGATACATTTTTTTTTTCAGGATTCTTATTTTTCAAAAGAACAGCATTTTTTAAAATATAAATCTTTGCAACATTGTAAATGTATTTACTGCCACTTTTGATTAATTTAATGCATCCTTGATGAATAAAAGTATTACATTCTTTCAGAAAAAAAACCTTACTCCAAGCTTTTAAATTTCTTTAACAAAATGAAGAGCAAAAGATGTGCATTAGGCGTCTGACTGATGTTTTACCAATGGATTTTATCATTCTTGTACTTCCACAGAGAATGATGGGAAATGTAGTTTTATTCCACACATTTGTCACCTCATAAACCTGCTAAATAAACATTTCTAGCCAGCTTTATCGCTGATTGTGATCTCACAGCCAGTGGCCTGTCTCTTTCTTATTCTGTTTCTAGGTAGATTCAATTTTATTCGTCGAAAGACTTGAACACGAAACTGCTCGCAACTTTCTGTAGAGTGTGGAAACTTGGCCATGTGCTCCATTTAATTTCATCTCTTCCTCTCACTCTCTCTGTCACTCTCATTGTGTTCTCCGTGTCTCGCCTCAGGTGTTGTTCGTGAATGACGGTGTTGACGTGGAGGATGAGGAGGCTGCTGAGGAAGAGGACAGCTCTCTGCTGAGAGGAGGCTTTGATGAAGAGGAGTCAGCCAGGTCCTTCCAGGAGGCTCTGAAAGAGTGGAGAGAGAGAGGACAGAGACCAGGTAACACACACACATACGTGTCTGAGTATGTGTGGATGTGCTACAGTCAAACCGCGGTAATAAAGTGACATGCTGTCAGGTTCGTGTGAGCTGCCACGTATATTCTCTGGCAGGCTGTCAGAACACACACAAACAGTCTCTCATAAAGCACACTCATGTGTGGCATTGACTGAAATAACGCACGCTGCGAGTATGACAGGGCTGCTGATTGGTTGCCAGGTAACTACATATATGCATGACAAACGTGCTTGTTGACGCACGCGCGCGCATGTGTGTGTTTCCAGGCGCTGCATGCAGTTTGCAGAAATGCCTCCGTGATTTGACAACATATGACTCAATGTGTTAGAGAAACTATACTCAGAAACTTGAATGATGATGCTAGGTCACAAGAAATTCAATCTGTTAGGGATATTAGTCAAGAACAGCGGGATATTTGTTTGCTAAATGAGATCAGACTTGAAGTTTCCATGCATTTGACTTCAGGATCTCCTTTAAGAGAATCACTGTACTCTGTTTGAAATCAAATACTAGCCTAGTGCATTCTAAACCTACTATGGTGTAGGAATAGTATATAATTTAGTGCACTTTATGCAGTGATAAATGTCACAGCCTCACCACATCAGGGGAACTTGCAGTTAATTAGTGGCAGATTCACATTAAAGCTCTTAGATTAATCAGATGTGAGCTTGATGCTAGACTTCATAAAAGGTCAAATGGCTGAGTAACTTAATTTTCTACTTTATTTTAAAGCAAATGCATTTATTTGATTATTATTTATGTAGTATTGCAACACTTATGATCAGAAGCATATTAGTAAACCAGAGACAAGAAATGTCATGAGCTGGCTTTGATGTAACGGTCAGAATTAATAAAATTCCTAGCTATCAGTTCTCCCACATGATATTTGTAATCAAAATCTTTTTATTTCATAGGGACTTGCAATAAAGTGACTTGAGTGTCTCTGCAGCATGTCAATAGGAGCAATTTATTTTGATGCATTATGATGCACATCACACATCCAGTGTAGACAGGGTGTCAAGTGAAATTTGATGATTTATTTATTTATTAATTTTTCACCCCCAATTTTTTATAAAAAAAAAAGCATTGAAAGAAATGTTTTTGGATGCATTTAAAGGGATAGTTCACCCAAAAATTCTGTCATTAAAGTGCCCCTATTATGGGTTATGAAAGGTTCATATTTTTGTTTTGGGAGTCCCCAACAACAGGTTGACATGCATGCAAGGTCAAAAAAACACTTTCATTCTCTTATAACATGCATTTATTTTTTTATCTTATTTGCTCAACGACTCCCAAACGATTCGCTCAACTATTCATTTTTCCAAACCCCTGTTTTGCATGACGCTAATCTGCGGTGAATGGTCCGATTGGCGATTGGTCGATTTCATCATGCCTGTAATGCCTGATAAAGCAGCGTTTGTGAGTGCAGTGCTGCTTTGTGTACAGCGTTACTGGGGAAACCGCTATTTTTACTGCTACAGAAGCGGCACCTAGCGGCAAAGAATGAATTTGCATTTTCATTCAGGCCAACGCGAAAAGACCGCGAATGAACACGAAGAGAGAAGTGGGCGGGCAATATGCTAATGTTTCATGATGACGTCATCATGAAACGGCTTGGGATTTGTTTTAAAAACGACTTGTTTCAATGATTCAGAGT